CCAGCACATGTCTCATTTGACCTCTCTGTACAGGCAAATATTTTATTTCCTCATCCTGTCCTCTTCCCTAGGTAAAGTATTTCAATTTGTGCAACACTTTACAAAACCAAGTCTATGGTATGCCTTCCACCTAAATACTGATGTTCATATTTTAATATGCTTCTTTCTAGCTTTCAAGATCTTTGAAGTTTCTTATCCAGCTTTATTCCTCATGACTCCATCTTATTCCCTCTCTATCCAGTTAAGCCTTTTACTTCACCAGCCCTCACACACCAAGCCCATATCCTCCTTCTGGCCATTTCTCATGCTATGTCCTACCATCCCAATCCTGAATGCCTACCTCCTTCCTCCAGCTTCTCTGAATCCTGCCTACTACTCAACACCCAGCTCCGGCCCCCTCACTGGCTGCTAAAGTCATCCTGATTCCTCCTTCCTTCCATGTATAGATTGGTCTCTACCTACCCATTGTGTAATTAATAAGTCACTAGATAAGTTGATCAAATGTTGACATTGGTTTGTGCATAGAGCCATAGCATAAATCAAATAATTCACTTAGTAATATTTACTGAGCACTTACCTTATGTTCAGCTCTGTGGACAACATTCCATTTCAGAAAAAGTATGGGGATTTATGGTGAATTAGACCTGTTTATGTCCTTGAAGGATTAGCAGAGGCGTTTGAGAGGGGGAAAAAAGCTACACACATGGAAGAACAATTCCAGAGCTGAGGCCCAAAGTATGATGGTTCTTAAGGCAATGTGAGGTAGACAAGAGGGGAGGAGGAGCTGACACCATCCACTAGAGTGAGGCAGGGGTTGGGAGGCAATTCCAGCTGACAGCAGAGTCAACTTTCTACTGTTCATTGGATGGATGGATGGATGGATTGATGGATGGATGGATGGATGGATGGTTGGATGGTTGGAAGGATGGAGGGATGGATGAGTGGATGGATGGATGGATAGATGGATAGATGAATGGATGGATGGTTAGATAGATGGATGGAAGCAAGTATAGATGAACCAAAAGATAGATGGTCCAAAAGGCATCCATCATCCACTCAAGAAATATTTATTGAACACTTACTATGTGCCAGTTATAGGAGATCCTTAGATAGATAAGATAGTCTTCGATTAGATTGTAGTCTAGTCTGGTGGCATGGCAATGCAGTGATAAGTCAAGCAACAGTGACTTTAAAAGTTTAAAGGAAGTAACAAGAGCTATCATTTTAAGTATCTCTATGTTAAGTGTTTTTTCAAACATGATTGTTACAGTTCCCACTCTGGGGTGCTGCAGCAAACTCACAGGGGCACCGTGAGTTGTTTTAAACTTTGAGAGGAAAAAGAATGATACTCAACATCTGTCAGACACTGTGCAAACCACTAGCTCAAGGTAGTTCACAGTTTCAACATGTAATCACCCTACATTCCTTTTGATGATGTCATATCTGTGGAGCTGGGTCTTTGGTAGCAGCTGCAATAAATAAACAAGAACCATATGAAAATCAACATGGAACAGGAGATGAGGGCATCAGAGTCCAATCAGATTGCCAGGTTTGAGAAGTTGTCCAATGCCCAAGAGATGCATACATCTTATTAATAAGTAATGGTTGTTAACTTAAGACTGAAGTAGAATTACTACTTTTTATTTCAATGTATATGTATTATTTTGTCAGAACCTAAATACTTAAATTGTTTGTTCCCAACTTCTTAATAAATGGGACCCCTACATGTTTCTTAAGGCCTAGAGACACTGTGGGAAAGTGACTGAGGTACTAAGGACACCATAAACTGAGAGAGTTTGAGAACCTCTGTGTCATTGCTAATCCTCCCAGATTACTAATTTACCAAACATCACACAAGTAGTAAGATCCAGAGTCAGGATTTAAACCCAGATCTCTTGTAATGGGTCTCTAAAACCACATCACTTATGCTTAAAACAGTGATGAGCTCATCAGGAGATGGATAGATAGGGGACCTGGTGGGGCAGAATCTGGGGAAGGGCAGTGGGACCGACAGATCATGGAACCGAGAGGACTAGCCCAGAGCCTTGAGAGCGCACTGCATCGTCACTCTGCCCTGCCACCCTTTTTGGGGCTGAGTTTCCAGGGCCCTGGTCTGGTGGGAGGAAGAAGAAACAACCCCTAAGACAAATGCAGCAATAAACCCTCTGATTTTCTCAGTGTGGTCACAAGATGGGGAGAGTGTAGGGTGTGGAGATTACGGTGCAGTGTGAGAAATGGGGGCTGAGTCACACACCTTTTGGGGGTCAAATAACTTTTTTTGCAGCCTGCTGATTGTTGAAAATGTTAGTGGCTGCTGTCATAGTAATACCCTCAAATGACCAGACTGCTCTCATTTCAGGTGGGCAGAGTCTTGCCAAGATTGTGAGGAGAGTGGAGGCAAATTACCTTGAAAGAGAAACCCTCTGGAATTGGGAAAATTTAGGTCAACATCATTTGAACCTTGACCTCCTGCTCTTTTGTCCCCAGACAGACATTTCCTTGACCTCCAGAAATTCCTCTGCCTGGAAGGAAGACTCCTCCCCCCTCCCTCCAGAGGCCTCCAAAGTGGGTGGAAACAGATTCAGGGCAAGGCCCCCCGGGAAGCATGCAGGGCCTTGGGAGTGTGGAGAGTTGGAGAGGCTTCTCTGCAAAGATCTTCAAAGGCAAAGCCCAAAGCGCTGAGACCCCAGGAGGGCGGGCTCCAAAGAGGAGTGCTGGAGGGAGAGCCTGCTGCCACCGCCCGGGGCCTGGACAGGGACCCCCTACTGCGGCAGTGAGCCTGCTTGTAGGAGCCCGAGAAGGCTAATTCAATTACCCTTATCAGAATGCCTCTGAACTTAACAAAGCAGATAATCAGTTCCAGAGACAGATACTGTGTGGGGGGCCAAAATTATTTTGCTTCCCAAAATTGAGGCTGAAATTGGAGATGTTTGGGTAATGGAAAACATAATCCCTCCCTGGGTCCAACCCCCCTCCCAGCACCCACACCTGACACACCCCTACCATTTGAGCCAAGAAGACTGGGATTCAACATCCACACCCATCTTCTTAACACACCTGGCCGTGAACTTGACCTCTTCCTCCCACCCTCTTTAGGAATCAGAGTCAGAAAGAAGCTGTGTAGAGAGGCTGGGAGCAGGAGAAAGGGAATAACAGTTATTGAGCCCTTTGTGTGTCAGGTTCATTATACACATTATCTCATTTAAACCACCCAACAAGCCTTTTGGTGGGGGGTGAGGAGTGGCAGGGGTTGGGGGGAGAGTGAGGAGAGGATTAGTGCTACCACATTCCTGAAGGCAATGGAGATTTGGAAAAGTTAAATCAGTGCCGGAGAACCCATCCCTATAAGCAGTACAGGTTAGATTCAAACACAGGTATCAGACTCTGCAACTCATTATGGCACAGGGCCTCTCTGCTCAACATCAGAAAGCAAATGGAAACTCACTTATTCAAGGACTCATAGTAACCTTTCATGGTAGGATTGTCTCATTTGTGGGTGAAGAGATAGACTCAGAGAGGCTCAGTAACTTTCCCAAGGTCACACAACTGGTGACTTTCTCAGTTGGGATTTGAGGCCAATGAGATTGGAGTTCAAGCCAGGGCTCTCAGTATTATCTCACAGCTGCAATCCAGCTTATTTTCTAGAGACTTCCCATCGTCCTAGGGAGCCTATGTTCTCATGTTTCCCATTGAGTGTAGTGCAGGACTGAGCCCACCATCATGGGTGAATAGTGGGTGCTGGGCAACCAGGATTGCTGGTGAATGTTCAGTGCTTTTGCCAAAGGCGAGCTCTCAGCGCCTATTTGCTCAGAATATAGAGCATACCAAGTTAACACTCCGAAGAACCTCTCATATCCATGGCTCACATCTATTTACTTATTTAAACTCACTGTTTTTATTAGGTAACATTTGACATGTGCAGAATAATATCTATGTAAATTGTAATCATAACATGTGAGCCCACCACTCCACCTGACAACTAGACCATTACAATGGATGCTCCTCCCATTCTTTTCTCCTGCCTTCCCCACAGAAACAACCACTATCCTGAATTTTGTGTTTTTCATTCCTTTGCTTATTTTTATAGCTTTGCCAAGTATGTTTGCATGATAGACTGCATTATTGTTCTGAGTCTTTAGACATAGGGCCCTTTGACATGTGACTTTGCAGTTCCTCCCATTAGAGGTGGAATAAATGTCCCTGCCCAGTGAGGTTAGATTGGCTTGGGCCAGTGTAATGTTGTAGGCACTGATGGATGCCAATTTTGAACTTAGGTCTTCAGTGGCATCACTTGTCTCCACTTTCTCTTCTTAGATTCCTGCCTCTGTCCCAAGAAAAACATGCTCCTGGTCCCACCCGCTGATTCAAGGAGGAATAACAATGTGTGGAGCAGACCTGGACCCAAACTGAGGTTGGAATCAAATCCAACGGAGCCCAGGCTAGATCAGCCACTCCCACACAATCCACAGACACTGGAGTGAGAAAACATGAAGGTTAGTAAGCCACTGAATTTTGGAGTAGTTTCTTATGTGGCATTATTGTGGCAATAGCTGATAATATATAGTGTATTGCTAAATAGCCTCTTTGTTTTTTGAGTTTTGAAAAATGACCATTGATACCACATATTGTCTACTTCTTACTTTTCTTCCCCACTCAACATTGTATTTCTGAGCTTTATCTGATGGAATATAACATAGCAAATGAACTACAGCCAAAGCCCCTTAGTTTAGAGATGAGGAAAGGCGAGAGATCCACGGAGCTCTCAAATGGCTGGATTGTCAGGGGAGCCCCAGTCTCATTCTTTCAGCAAATATTTATTGAACACAAGCAGAGCCCTTCCTCAGTGCTGGGACTGTGAGGTGAGCTGGGCACGAAGATTCCTGCCCTGGAGGGCCTTATGTTACAGGGGCCACTTCATGGAGAGAGGGCAGCGGACATCTGTGCCTCCTGTCATATCACTGCCAGCGTTTCCTCATTGCCTCTGCCCTGCCAGCTCTTTCCCCTCATTCCATTCACCAACTCCTGTCCCTGGAGGCAGATCGTGTAATTAAGGCAGCATGTGAGGAGGGCAGGCGGAAACCATGGAGTGGATAACTCTCCTCGGGAGAACAGCCGGCAGGCAGGGTTCCAGGGGAAAAGGCCAAAGTAACTGGGAAACTCGGGCCCAAGGATTGGGAGTCAGGTTTGCGTTTCTGCAGGTGCCATGTGTCTGCCAGGAGCAGGCAGTTGTCTGGCCAGAGTGGACAGCAGTGAGCTCAGAAGCCCCGTGGACTTGGCTCCTGGTATGACCGCAGTCATCAGCAGAATGTGTTTGGGAGACAAGGAAAGAATGAGAAATGTTCCTCACCCCTGAGGACTTTGCAGCCAAATGAGAGAAGCAGGATATACAAAAAAAAAAAAAAAAAGCAAGGCCTCAAACCCCTTCAACAAACAGCAAACATCATAGATAGAACCAGAGCGAGCAGATACACCTGGGCTGACGTGGACGTGCAGATGCCCAGAAGTGGCTGAAACGACCGGGACCTGCTGACTGTCCGTAGAGAGGTGTCCTTTGTTTCCCCAGAACATTTGCGTAGGTCTCGTGAGAGCTGCCTTTTATTCCAGGCTTTGGAAAAGCACAGCGAGAATCACTTCACAATAAAACTAGACCGAACACAACCGCATACTCCCTCAATGATTCAGAAAGCATTCCAGGGTGTTGCAGGGCCTCGGGGACATCATTAGGAAAATCAGTTACCATACAGGATTGGAAGAAACTGCATCCTGGTGATATGAGGTTTCATGGTGATTGGGTCCCGGATAAGGAAGTTATTTTCAGTAATGAAAGCTTAGCAATTCCTGCCAGGTAGGGAAATGGCAAAACCAAGGAGAGCGCTTGGCTGCTCCCAGCTCCAGTGCTCGGTGTGGAAGGGGAGGGGCAGCCACAGCGAGGGGGTGATCACTCCTTGAGCCGAGGGGTGTGTAGACGGGAGAGATCTAAGATCAGAATAGAAGGGCTGTTGCTTGGGGAGGGGAGCACTGAGGGATGTTTTATCTGTCTGTCTACCTGATTCCTGTCTGAAAATCCCCGCTGCTGTGTTTGTTATTGTTGTTGTGTTTACTCCAAAGTTAATGTTTTCAAAGACAGCGATTTCTGAGCCTGCGTTTATATGGTAGGGACTTCCCCAGGGAAGGGAAGCAATGACTGGCCTTCAGTGATGGGGTGAGGAGCCAGGAGATCAGTGACCCAGATCTTACGCACAGTGGATGCCAAGTCAGAGGGTAACAGAGTGAATTGGAAAGAGCTGGAAGTCCTGAGGTCAAGTCCCACTGCCGAAAGGTGCAGCCTTGGCAGTGCCAGATTCCTCACCTCCTTGGTTGTCCCATCTGTAAACAGGGGCCGAGAGGACAGTGGCTTCTGACTATGGACAATTTCCACCTTCAAGAGCCTATGTAAAACCAAACACTTCTTAGAGAGATAGCAAGAAGGAAGGGGAAAAAGGACCAAATTTATTTGGGCCATAGTTGAGAAAATACCAAGTGGGTCTTAGCCTCTGTGGTATATATTTTCTTTTTCCTTTGTATCCATTGCTATTTTACATATGTATTAATTTTATTTCCCCAATCAGAGTACATGTTTCTTAGGAGCAAGAAAAAGTGTCACAGAACTCATTGAATTTCAGAACAAATTGTATTATGAAAAAATATTATAAAATTAGAAATTATTTTAATCTCCATTTATTACATTAGAAAAAATATCTGTATGCTGATGATATATCATTATAGATGATACCATTCATTTCTCACGTCAACATTGTCATAGTGTTTCTGTGCCCATTTTACAGATGAGGAAACTGAGGTAAAGAGAGGTTAGAAGATTTGCTAGTTACATAAATAGTAAACAGTAAAACTGGTACTTGAATCAAAGTCCTCAAACTTAAACTTCTAGACTCTTTAGAAGTCACATGGATCGCTTTTGTATCTCATGTGGCACTCAACACAATGCACATACGTAAGAGGTGATCAATCAATAATTGTGGGTTAATGAATACCACACAATTACAAATTGCCCAGCTTAAAGACTGGGGCCGGATCAAATGGCCTGGCATGATTTTTTTCTCACCCAGAAATACCCTTGGGCCCTGAGTGCCCCGGGCTGTAGGAGCCACGGCACTGGAGGGACCGCCTGGACCTGTTGGCACGTATCCCAGTCATGTGGCTGGCCAGGCGCCTGCGGTTCCCCTTTCTCATATGAGCAGCCGGCAGGCCCAGGCCAGGACTGGAAGCCCCCTTTACAAATACATTCCAGTTTGCATTCCCCCTTGGCCAACAGACAGGGCCCTACAAACCACCCAGCAAAACCAGCCAGGAAAAAGCCCTCACTTCTGGCCACAGGAACTTCAGCAACACGTCAGCCTGAGCCTGAGGCGCCAGCTCTGCCCACAGAACGCCCGGAGGCAGTAACCCCAGCCCAGCCAGGTCGCATGGACTCACTGAATTTTATTTGCCCATCAGGGGCCTGGAACAAAATTGAAAAGCAAACACCTTGTGCAGTTAAGTTGGTTGTCTTAACCACAAATAAGACTGGACTTGTGTCCAACCCACTTGTCCCAACAGCTCCGTTTGGGAATGCATGTGTATGCATCTCTCTCGGGGCCAGAGACGTGGTCCTTCTGGTGACATCAGCTTTGGATTGGGTCACTTTGGCAGCTTAGCCTCTTCCACTGACTGGGTGTAAGTGCTCCCTTCCTCCCCCAACCTACCCTTTGTCATCCTCACAGTAGCCCTGGTCTGGTTCCTCATTCACTAGCCCAGATCTCAGCTCTGGGTGAGCCCTTGGCCCACTGACTTGTCACTGCCAGGTCTGGCTTCTCAAGCTCCACATGCAACCATCAGCCTCTATTGATAACCTTCAAGACTCCCCAGTTCTTTCGCAGCAGATTTTAGCCCAGAGTCTCTCTTAGAGTTCTTCTAAGTGCCTCCACCAAGTCCCACCGGCTCCGGCCAGCTCCCATTTCTCCCAGCACACCCCTTCTGTCTTACTAGACTGAGCTCTCCACTGTCCCAGCACACAGTAGACCCAACCTGACCTCATGGCATTTGTTCATGTGGAATTACTGGGTCACATGTCTAATTTTTTGAGGAACTGTCACACTGTTTCTACAAAGCAGCTGCATCGTTTTACATTCCCACCCACTATGTCTGAGAGTCCATTTCTCCACATCCTCATCAACACTTGTTATTGTTTGTCTTTTTGATTGTAGCCATCCTGGTTGGTATGAGGTGACATCATTGTGGTTTGGATTTGCATTTCTCTAACGATGTTGGGCATTCTTTCATGTGCTTATTGACCATTTGTATAGCTTCTTTGGAGAAATGTCTATTCAAATCTTCTGTCCATTTTTAAATTGGGTTTTCTTTTCATTGTTGAGTTGTACACATTTTTAATTTCTGGATATAAGTCCCTCATCAGATATATGATATACAACATTTTTCTCCCATTGTGTTTGGGTTGTCATTTCACTTTATTGATGATGTTCTGTGAAGCACAAACATTTTTAATTTGGATGAAGTTCAACTTACCTATTTTTTCTTTTGTAATTTATGTTTTTTATATGTTTTTTGATATCATATCTAAGGAACCATTGCCTAATCTGAGGTCACAAAAACTTAAAATTAAGCTATATTTTCTTCTTAAAGTTTTATAGTTTTAGATCTCACATTTAGATCGATTTTAGTTAACTTATTGCATATGTTTTGGAGGTAAGAGTCCAAATTTATTCTTTTGTACATGGATATCCAGTTGTTTAACACCATTTGTTGAAAAGACTATTATTCCTCCCCATTTAATTGCTTTTATGCCCATGACAAAAATCAAGTGACCAAAAATGAAAGGTTTTATTTTTAGATTCTCAATTCTATTCCATTAATTTCTATATCTATTTTTATGCCAATACTACAATCTTGATTTACAGTAAGTTTTGAAATCAGAAAGTGTGAGTCCTCCAAGTTTGTTTGTTTTCAAGATTGTTTTAGCTACTTTGGGTCCCTTGAATTTCCACATGCATTTTAAGATAAGCTTATCAGTATCTACAAAGAAGCCAGCTGGGATTTGGGCAGGGATTGTATTGACTCTGTATATCAATTTGGAGAGTATTGACATCTTAACAATATTAAGTCTTCCATTCCATGAGAATGGGATATCTTTTTTCCCCCATTTATTCAAGTCTTCTTTTATTTCTTTCAGTGATATTTTATAGTTTTCAGGATACACGTCCTACAATTATTTGGTTAAATTTATCTATCAGTATTTAATTCTTTTTGATACTATTATGCATGGAATTATTTTCTTAATTTTATTTTCTGATTTTTCATTGCTAGTGTGATAGAGGTATAATTGATTTTTGCATATTTACCTTCTATCCTACAGCCATACTGAACTCATTTATTTGTTCTAATAGTTTTTTTTATAGATTCCTTAGGATTTTTTAATATACAAGATCATGTCATGTGT